AGGGTGGGACAGAAGACATGAAGAAACCAGTCTCTCCAAATTTCAGTGTGGCTAGAACTATGTGTCTGGCCATACCTCACATGCAGACAACAAAATCACCTTGTTTAACGCTGTACATCTGCACAGTGGTCATAGTTTACATTGAACCCTTGTTCTCTAAGTCAAAAACCAATACTACTTTCAATCTTTAGCAGTATCATTAACAATTAAGCGATATTTTTACAGTAATTAAAACAACTGCCCTTCAATCTGTTGTTTCCACTGTAAGTCTTACGATCTCTTTTGTCTGGTGGGGCCAGGGAGGCAAAGGATGGAAGGAAATGGAAGGAAAAGCCGCTCCTTATGAGAAGTGGCTGAGGGAGCTGCGGTTGTTTAGTCTGGAGAAACTGAGACTGACGGGAGACCTTATCACTCTCTTCAATTACCTGAAAGGAGTTTATACAAAGGTTGGTGTTCGTCTCTTCTTCCATGTAAGAAGTGATAGGACAAGAGGTAATGGCCTCAAGTTGCACCAGGGGAGGTTTAGACAGGATATTAGGAAAAATTTCTTTACCGCAAGAGTGGTCAAGCACTGGAACAGGCTGCCCAGGGAGGTGGTGGAGTCACCATCCCTGGAGGTGTTCAAGAAGTGCATGGATGTGGCACTTCAGAACATGGTTTAGTGGGCATGGTGGTGTTAGGTTGATGGTTGAACTTGATGGTAGAGGCTTCTTTCAACCTTAACGATTCTGTGATTCTATGCAAGTGGCAGAGGAGGGGAGAGGATGTGTTCCCAACACCCAGCACTACTCAGTTTATGTTTACTTCTCTTTGCGAGCAACTCGGTTTCCACAGACAGTCACAGTCCAGTGACTGCCAACACCTGACCGACTGCTACAAAAAGCACTGGTTTCACACGGACACTGGCTGTGCTATCCATTCATACCCCGCTTTCTCTGGAACCACAGCTTCCCTTCTACATGAGGAATATGCACCACCTTGCAAAACAGCTTTGACTACAGCTTGTGTTGTCACCATTTCATGTATCACAGTTCACAGCGTACTATTCTAAAGCACAAATCAAGGCTCTTCAGTTGGCTGCTCTGAACTGATAAAAAAATCCTACCTATTATGGACAATTAAATAGTCAGCTCTTCTTCCGTAACTCCAGGAATCACTGTAACATTGTCGAAACAGATAAACAGTAGGTATTGAGCAGTTTGCAGGTAACACTTTTTGTCGCTCCTGATAACAACTATGTCCCTACCCTAGCCAGTTCTCTACACAGGGCCTGATAGCATCGAGGGCCCAACACAAAATACCACAGTGAGGAGAAAAAGAAGTAAAACAAAAACCAAAACCACACAAAACAAAACCCCAAGCGATTCTGAGCAGTCCTCCTTAGCTGCAGGAGGCTGGTACTTGCTCTAAAGCATTCACTTCTGCCAGTAAGCTTTGACAACATGGAAAACACTTCTGTTCCCCAATCCTGCTCTGTTAAACTAATCAATAGTTTCGTATAATACAAGAAAAGGAGGTTCCTGTCCCCTTCTAACCTTTGTAAAATGTCAGACTGCTACTTATCCGAGAAAGTAGATTTGACAAAAATATTTCTTGAGGTTTATTCAATCGTTATTAAATTCCTGAAAGTTTTGTATTTTGTATTATTGCTATAATGGACATCTTTGTAGCAATCCTGCAGAAAACACCCAACACATCAAAACAACCAAGTGTGGCAGAGCACAAACAGTCAATGCACCACCTCTCTGACCTGCACACTGGTATTTTTTTCAGCTCCTAAATTAACTTTTTGCACACAGAGGGACGAAGATACAGGAAATATTGAGGTTTACAAGTATGCGAATAGAAACTGACTCACCACAGTCCTTTGCTTGTTGGGCAGGAAGACTCTAACAATAGGCTTCTGTGGAGACTTAGGGTTATTCCGTGACATATCAGCAGGGTTTTGAAAAACCAGAAGGGATGAAGGTGCTACAGAGAGGCTAGAGGAGGAAGATGATGCAACTGTGTCTGTTGAAGCTGAACTGGAGACAGAGAAATCAGTTCCGTTCCCCATGGATTCCAGCAGCTGCTGTTCTCGCTGCTGCAGAGCATCAAGTTTGCTGGTGTACTCCTCATAGGCCTGCGGAGGAAGAACAGCTGTTTTAACCATGTAGCAGCCTCACACAAAACCAGAAATCTCCATTCAGAATGAACACCAAACAAAACACACTCTGAACTAATTCAGATTTCCTAGGAATATGAACAAAAAATGGTCCGGTTAATTTTTCAGTAGGACACAAAGAAGCAATGGCTTTCAATTCGTTATGCTAAACCTTCCGAACCAAAAACTAATTTTTTAGTAGATTAAATGGGTAAGTGGATAAAAGAAATCTAAGTCACAGTTTAGCACACCTGCACTAAATAGTCTAATTCAAAACTACTTTAAAGAAGACAGTGATCTTTAACAAATGTTGTCAGCTGCACTGCCAAATTACTGTGTGACAGCTAAATTTATCATTCTGTAGCAATGACAGCTAAATACAGCTAATGCAATAATTAAGAGAAAGTTGAAATCTGTTTTTTACCGTCTGTACCTCACAATTCACCTAGCTCACTGTTCACCATTCTTCACCTCTGGCACTACCCTTTTGTACCAGACAGTACAAAAAAACTCAATTTCAGTTAGAGCACATCTAAATTTGCCTTGTTACAAAGTCATCCATAAACATGTAAAAGCGATCTTTTGAAATAATTTCTTAACGTGTGTATGAGATTAATACGGTTTTCCACAAAGTTTACGTAAAACCCAATTATATACTAAGTTTCTTAAACAGTGAAAAACCAAGTAACATTAAATTTGCCTGCTAAGTTTTTATTAAATGTAGTCAAGCTAAGCGTTATTGCCAGACCCTATAATACAAACACGTAATCAGTATAGATACTGGTTTAAAGTTTGTTTCCACCAACTTTGTTGGTCTTTGTAAACAAAATTTTGATTGGTATCCAAGTATCAGAATTATATCTTCAGCACATACATTAGCACACAGGGTATCTTCACAAATCTGAATCAGTTAAGGAACACGTGTTTCAAGCTACACAAGCATGTCAGTGTTAACCAAGGACAGGGTAGACCTCTACAGACAAGAGGAAACAAAGATCTGACAAACCTAACTTCTAAGCAGTAGAGAACAGAATTTTCTACTTAGCTCTCCAGCAAGACCAAGATCTATGTCAAGCTGCACAAAATTTTAGTGCCACATAGGGTACTTCTGTTACAGGAAGATACTTTTTTTCTTTAATGTATATTTGCTTTCTTTAAGTTTGCTGTGCATAAGTTGCTAATTAAAGTTATAGGAGAATTGAACTGACCAAAAAGTCTGCAGGGTCTACATGTGGAAAAAAACTCCCTGAAGTTAAGAGAAGAAACCACCAGCATTCAGTAAGTCCTGACACAAATACTACGTTTTACTATTAATTTAATTCTGATGGACCTACATTCAAAATTTGTGTCATCAGCCCAACAGTGCTACCAAAGAGAATGGTAATTTAACAGTGAGGACTAACAACAAAAAAGCATTTTAAAGAACGGTGGTGAACATCACCATTTCAAATTCTAAATTTTATGGGTTCTGTTTTTAATAAATGGACATAAGTTACAGGAAACTGAGAACTACTTACTATTTCTTTTAAAAACTGAAGATGTCTAGCGTTTCTTGAATAGAGCCCAAACTCAGAGACTTAAAACCAGAACATTTTCACTCTAGGCCAATTCTACTGTTCAAAGTAAATTGGAAGGTTACCTAATGATAAATAACGGCATTTTTTGGCTACACAGTAACACAAGTGTCTCTCGCCTACTTTTCAACTTTTCATGTAAATTCCTGTAAACACTCCATTTGTCAAGAATTATTTTCAGTAAACAAAAATTAAGAACCATAAACTGTTACCACTTCACCAATACTTTTCTAAACACTTACTTCCTTTTCTCATGAACATTGCAAAATATTATTTGAACACATGCAACATTACATTGCTTCCGGATACTTGTGGGCTTAGTTCCTTCACAAAATTACACCCATCTTTCAAAATACTCAATCCTACAATGTTTACACTGGCAGCTTTATCTGTCACTCACACAAACTCAAAGTCAAACGATTTATCTTAAGTGAATAAACAACGAGCATGGAAAGCTAGGAGCTGCTGCTGGCTTTGGGTTCTATACCATTAAATTCTGCATGAAAAGCTCTATTTTTATGGAGACAAAAGCTCTCGGGTATTACACTGTTACTCAATGTCACAGCAAAAGATCCCATAACAAAACATAATGGAACTAGAAATGCATTAGTAGACTTTAAATAATTTTTGTCTTTTAAAAACCAAGTTCTTTTTATAAAGAAAGAGCAGAAAGAAAATAGCTCCAATAAAATCTCATTTTCACAGAGATTAAATACTTCGGTGAGACACTGGTTTCAGCTGACGACTAGCACCCATAGACCTCACACAGCCAACAGCGCCAAGTCGAAATATAGAACTATCCCATGAAGTTAAACTGGAAGTGTTACAACAGCAAAGCTGGCCTATGCTTCGGAGAAGATGGCTCTGGCGGAACCCCACTGCAGCCTTCCAGTTTGTGGAGGGGTCCAACAGGAAAGCTGGGGAGGGACTTTTCACAAGGGCAGGTAGCAACAGAACGAGGGGAAATGGCTTTAAACTGGCAGAGGGGAGATTTAGACTGGATATTAGGAAGAAATTATTTACTGTGAGCGGCCAGGTTGGACAGGGCTTTGAGCAACCTGGTCTGGTGGGAGGTGTCCCTGCCCATGGCAGGGGGTTGGACTGGATGAGCTTTAAGGTCCCTTCCAACCCAAACCATTCTGTGATTCTGTGAATCTATGGCAAGTATTTCTAGCTAAAAGAAAGATTTTGCTGCAGAGTCAGCCTATCTACAACAGCAGCCTGCAGCAGCATAGCCATATTAGCAGACAGACATCAACAGCTACACAAGCTTTCCAGTCAGTCAGGGACCTCTGGTTCAATTATAAGACAGATCTTTAACACTGTTTTTCAAAAACAAACAAAAAAAATTAAACTTAAGTTTGTACAGCATCTACAGCATGAAGACTAAGCTGAACATTCCAAGCAATTAATTAAATTAAGGATTTTAAAGGCATTTCAGAAAGAAAAGTTTAAGAAATCTCGAATGAAATCATTCAGTTTACATACTCTCATTAAGAAATGAGTAGCATCCTACAGGAAAACTTAAATCTTGCTTTCAGCTTGATACAGAATCACAGGAGAAAAACAAAAAAGAAAAAACACAGTTGAAAAGTATCCCAGGAAGTCATTTAGTCCAAACACTAAACAGAGCTAACTTTTAAGTTCAGAGCCTCACCAAAGCAAGTTCTGAAAGTCTTGAAGGATGGAGACTCCATAGCCTCTGGGCAACCAGTTCCAAGGCTCAAAAACCACTCTCACGATGAAGAGTTTTTTCTTATCAAAATCACTTGATGCTGTGACCTTGCCTCTTCCCCTTTTGCTGTGTCTGTCTGAAAAGAGTCTGGCCCTCTCTTTAGGTTGCAATAGCCAGCAGATTCCTCCTGAACCTTCTCTTCTCCATGCTGACCACCACCCCAGTGCAGCCACACAAGCAGTGAGTAGATGGGTCCCTCTCCATCCTGGCTACGTGGTTGCTAACACAGACCTGTCTGCACTTTGCTGCTGTTACCATGAGGGTAGGTGCCTGACAGCTCCAGCTTCTTCGTTAGTTGCCAAAATAGACTGTATTTAGAAACATATATTATCCCAAACATATTGCTTTGTTTGCCCTATCACTATACCACTCCTAATGTAGTGTGAATCTAGAGTAGTTCAGAGTTAAAGGAAAAATACATTTGAAGAAATTAATATTAGATTCAAATTGGTACATCATGTAAATATACATATAATTCTACGGCTAACACAGAACAAAAAGTTAATTTCAATTACATTGCATAACAATATATATATATGTGTGTATCATATAGTCTCATACATGTGAGAATGCTCCTGAGGCTTCAACTACGTAAAACATATAAAGGCCTGTTGAGCTGCCAAGTCCATCTAAAGTTGGCATGTTTATATACAAAGTATATCTATATATGCCATAATACAACTGCTGCTCACTCAAGAGCAGCATAAAGTTACTTCTTAAGTGTTGCAAAAAGCCGACAAAATAAAAACTGACCTCAGAAGTCCACAAAATTTGCATGATGTTACACAGACGTGCCAACAGAGTCCTGCTGACAAGGGATTTTCTCAAAAATATGCATATTTATGCATTATATATTGTATTTGAAATGTGCTTTCTTGAGCCATAACCAGGCTATACATTCTAGTAATAACATCTAAGGAAACAGAAAGCAACAAGTCAAAAATATTTTTCTTTAAATTAATCTGGGACAAAACCAAGTAGCAAATACAGTTTCTCGTTCTCCCTGCCCCTGCCCACATCTGGTTAGAAACCCAGTCTAAACTCAAGCAGACCAATTGGTTTTACCATTCGCTCTCCCTTCCTCAATCAATTTTAGATCATATCCACACATTGCAAGACTCTTGAAAGCCTGAACTACAGTTTGTCTGTCTTCGAAACCTAGATTGTGTTTCTATTTAAAAGATGTCTGACCTTTCAGGCTGTTGATCAAATGCAAATCCCACTAAGTTAACTGGGAGCTGAAGATAGACAGTAACGTACGTCAGGATTTCTTCATTTAGTAAGACTCCTAAATCTGTACTTAGTCTAACTTTAGACACTCCGGTTTTGGTCCAACCTATTTGATCAGCAACTGTTAAGAGCCTGGGAAAAATTAATCTGAACTTCCCCAGGGAACTGCCACGTTTCCCAGTGGCCCGTACACAGAGTCAGCATTTTCCTGGGATCCCACAAGCAGTCTGATCAGCACCAAGATCCATTTCAGACTGTATCTGCCTGTTGTAGCACTAAGCATACATTTGATCAGCAAAGGGGTAATCTTATTTAATTGATTAATTTGACCTCCTGTGTGGATTCTTCAGATATACAGGAATAAGGAATGAAACGCTCTCCAGAAATTCAACAGCCAAAACCTCAAAAACAGCAACAGCAAGGCCTCTGAATAAAATACA